AACTATTGCCTTGAAATTTTATCTCATAGTTCTAAAACTGGCTTTGCTCTCTTCTAGTTTAACATCTGTCTGATGGTGCAGTTGAAGCACAAGGGAAAAAAAACTTTGTCATCTTAATTTCAGTTCTATAACCTAAATGTATTTTTAAGACTTTGTTTGCCTAGATAATGCTGGTATCTCAAGATGACATTGGTGTTCAACAGCTATGGACTTTTCCATTGAAAGCACAGTTTGTTTCACAGAGTCTATAATGTTATTTAAAAAAGGCAAGGAGGCGGAAGTAAATGTTGGTATTATGTTGTTCAGTGGAGTGTTTTTCTTCTCAAAACCCTTTTAGTATTTCAGCCCTTCCAGTTTCTCTTCTCTTACCTGTTTAATCTCTTACTTGGCTTCTTTAATTTCAAGCATGTGTTCATTAAAAGTTCAGATCTTTTTTCACACAGGGTACATTTTTTACTATTCTTCTTTTGCATTCTTTAGTATTTCTTAGCAACATAAGAATTGTCTTAGTGTGCCCAAACTTCCATCTGTTGCAGTATCCTGTTCAAAAGTGGCTAATAGCAAGTGTATAGGGAAAAGCCTTGTTTTGTTTTGTTTTGGGTTTTTTATGGCAAAATAAGTCTTGCCCCCCAAATTTCCCAGGCCTCCAGCAGCTTGTGGCTCTGATTTCTGGAACCAAGTGTAGTATCTTTGTTTTTAATAGCCTCTGAGCCAAACTATGCACTTTCAATTTTTAAGTGTTTAGCAGGTGAAAGCGTGGTCAGACTCAGTTCATCTTTAAGGATGTTGCAGTAAGGCTGAAGTAAGAGAAACAGTTCAGATGTAGATGTCATTTATTAATTTATTGCAATTAAATACACTGAATATCCCATAAGATGCATTTTTCTTCATTAACAGTGAATTTTATGAGTATCATGCACTAATGATGGAGGAGGAAGGAGCAGTTATTGTTGGGCTGTTAGTTGGGTTGAATGTAATAGATGCTAACCTGTGTGTGAAGGGAGAAGACCTAGATTCACAAGTAAGTCAATACAGGTAAAGTAATATCTATGCAATCTATAAGATTATGTGCAGTGAATTTTGTTACTATGGAGTTGTGACTAGTTTAGGGTGTGATCCAGCTCCTGTATCACTGGGGGCTGTTGTATTAACCTCAAGATCAGTTGGGTCTGACCTTCAGATGGTGATAATTGTCACAGTGCAAAGCTAACGTTTTATCCTTTGTTGTAAAATGGATGCAGTAGTAGCAATGCAGAGTGCTTTCCATTTTAGTTGTAACTCGTCCTTTTCCTTGGCGGGAGTATAGTTCCATGATCAGTTTATCCCATTTGATTCATTTATTCTTGTTCTGGAACATAAGAAGTATGGCTATTTAGTCAGGTGATAAAGAGGGTGTAGTAAGAATGTTTCAAGGACCTGAAACAAAAAATTACTTTGCATAGTGTGATAGAAGACCTTATAAGAGGGTGACTGCTTTCAATCTGGAAAACAAGACTTAGAATTCTTCCTCATTTGTAAAGTGCTTTGACTTTGATCTTTTCCATTAAAAGCTTGACAGGTTTTTTCTAAAGGCAGATGCACAGGTATTTGTAAATAAATGTAGGCTGTGTTCAGTCCTGATTGGATTTTTTCAAGCTTCTTTGTGAAAAAAATGTAATAGATTAAGTGATTATTACTGTATTTCAGCATATATTTGCTGAAAAAGCAGTTTCTATGGCAAAAGAAAAGTTATAGCTAATTTAGTATATGTGCTATTGAATCGTAGGGTTAACTTGTATTCAACTGTTCATTCTAGTTACTATCTAAAGTTTTAGGCACTAATCTTGCATAGCAGAATATGTAAAACCGAAAGCCCTGTAATTATAGAAAACTTATCAATGTGCTTTTCTTAGTATTGAGAGTTATATGTGTGTATTACAAATAATCATAAAGAAATATTGCTGGCTACACCTTTGTTATCTAGGTCACTTGCTGGTTTTGATGAATGAAGGGAGATAAAAGGTGGTTTGGGAAGGTGGTGGTGGCTGTCCAAATGGGATTTTTAGAGTAATTCTTTTTGAAGAATAGTATAAATAAGGCACTCAGAGAAGCCAGAAGCAGCAAATTGTATTGAGCAGAAAGATAACCTTCTGCAGGATGATGGAAGTCACAACCAGGAGCGTAGTTCTGGTATGTTAAAGGAATCCTATTCAGTGGTGAAACGTATGAAATGGTGAAAACTCAGTCATGGAGAATTAAAACAAAGTAACTTCTACAGAGATAATACTCTCTCTATTAAAAAGTAAAATGTTTTGCTTATTAAATTGATTTTTAAAAAGCTCTTGGAGAAGAGACTTTTTAGAAATGTAGGGAATGGACAACTAGGTGATCATCATAGGAAGCTGACAAGAGAGCAGGAGAGCATCATATAAACAAAGGAAATGTTAGACTTAGCAAGTTACTTGTATTCAGAAGCTAAAGGAAGTTCAAGAAGGAAGCAGTAAATCGGAGAAATTGAAATACTTTTGTGAAGAGGCTGCTATAGACCAAAAAGGAAGGGTTTTGGTAAAGCAAACGTTGTTAAATACTTTTGTGAATAGAGTTGGAAGCAGAACTTACGGTAATGGTTTGTTTTGGTTTTTTTTTTTTTTTATAGTATACATGATTAAATTACAATTGAACAGAAAATAAATTAATTAGATTCAGATTTAGTAAGGTTTGAAAAAGATGAATGTGGTTGAGTTGGTACACCTGGGAATTGGCAAGTGTGGAAAGGTAGTATTATTTAACAAGGAATATTGAAAAAAATAAACATGGGAGAAACATCAGTTTGGGAGATGTGCTGTGATAGGAAATCACGTGAAACACTACAGGTGATTTATCACAGCTCTACTCAATCACTGATACGGGGTTCAGTAGTTTCTGATAATTCCCCAAATTAAAGTCTTCCTGTAAGTTCTTGGCTAAGGTCAGTCAGAGGCAAGAAATGATCTTTTCTTTGGGATTTGGTTTACAGCACATTGTTAATTTTGCTCAAAGGGAACATAATTATTAACAACTACGGAAGATAAACTTAAAAAAAAAATGTTTAAAATGTTACAGTTCAGTTTTTTGAGCTTCTGGCTGAAACTGGACCAATCCTAAAAAAGCTGATGTAACCCGGGTTTTATTAATTATGTAAACAGAAGACCATGAATATCAACAGCAGTTACTTGTATGGTATGGAACTCAATATGTTTGCTTTACCCTAGGTTGGGGTGATTGATTTCTCTGTGTATTTAAAGAGTGATGATGACATTGGAGGTAAGGAAAGGTATGTCCTCACCAAATACCTCAGACTTTGCATGTTAACAAGTGATTTCTTGACTGGTGCCCTTTTCTTTGTAGAAATAAGTCAGGTTCCCAAAGATGAAATATTCTGATCTCTCTGTCTCGAGAAAAATGGCATGCTACATGGTTCTGTATTACTAGTTAGCTGGAAGAATACTTGTACTCTGAAGCAAGCCTCAGCAACATCAGCTGCATCCTTTACCTCATGGAAAGTATTGGAGGATTGCAAGGTGTCACTGAAAAGGAACCTGTTAACCTTTAAGCCCTCAGCTTGGGATTTAGTCAGTGTTTAAAAAAAACCCCAGAATTATGGCAGAGTAAATGAACATTCTTTTTCTTTTGAGACTGTGTTCTTATGTTTCATGTAGAGAAATTGTTTTTAGATAAAGCATTGGGGTGTTTTCATCTCTCAATGATGTCACAATGTGTCAGTTACTGTCCTCACGATTGTGAGATGAAGTTGCTTCCTTTCTTTTTAAAAAGCGCAATTAAAATGGACATTTGCATATGATATGTATTTTCAGTGCGTAGCTCATGATACCATTTTGTTAAAGCTAATTTTATTATGTGCTTGCTTTAGGAATGTACAGATTGCTGCAATTTTGGACCAAAAGAATTATGTTGAAGAACTAAACAGACAACTGAAGTAAGTATTACTTTGAAGCACTGCTTGTCAGGCCAGGCTTACAGATAAAACACCTGTAATTCCTTTTATATCACAGCTTTGTGGGAGAAATTCAGGGAAGGAGGTGCAAATTTTTCATGTTTAAATTGTGGATGTAATGAAGTTGGAAAGGATACACTCTTCTGGAGAGACTCACGAAGTCTGTTTTCATGCTTTTGTTTTAGACAGTCAGAATCTTAATTCTTCAAGGAAACAAAAACCAGCAGGCCTAACTCATCAAGGTCCTTATCATTCATAATGTCACAGGAATTAAAAGCTTGATCTGGATTTTAACTGCATTCTATCTAATAATTTTCAAAAAGTGTTATTGAGTGTTCTGGCTTAAAACACATGTTTTTTGTTTCTTTGCCTTTCATATTGTTTTTGTTTGTAGCTTTAATGCCTAGGACCAAAACTGAGTAAGTTCATTGTCTGCCAGAAACAACTTGCACAGTGTAGGTTGCGGTTCCTGTCGAAAGTTTTCAGGAAAGCAGCCTTTTCCCCTTACTTTGCTGGATGGAGCAAACCTAGTCAACCATTGTTTGTGTTACTGTACAAATAGAGGAACAGTGATTGTAATTCTCTGAGGAGTATTGTACGAAATTAAACAGTGGGAGGAGCTAAAAAAGAAAAAACAAACAAAAATCCCTAACCAAAACCAAACACCACATCCACAAAGAACTTGTGTAGAACCTGTAGTGTAGCTGATCTTCTTGATCTCTTTTTGAAATGTAATCATATTTTTAATTTTAATGCTCATAATCTTGATCATTAATTACTATATGTCTGCTGTTGGGGGTAAAGATATTCTGATTTGAAATTGTGTCAGTCACTGAGCAGAATAACTGAGTGCGTCAAATACAAGAAAAATGAAAGTTAAGGAGGAGAAAGGAACGGTCACAATGAAGAACAGTGGTGTTTGTGTGGTGGTAGCTGTTATTCACATGATCCCCTGTGTAATGAATATGTCTTGTACACTAGTTTATGCATTAACTTATTTGCAAACCAGTGGTTCAGCAAGTCTCCTGTTTTATTTCAGGTCAGTTGTTTATTTCCACATGTCCTAAAATGCATTAATTTCCTCTTCCTTGCCATTCTTAATTAACTGGTAACTAAAGAACAGCACAGTAGAAATACATAGAAAAGTAAACTGTGTTAGAGAATAGGGTTTTTTTTATTTCATTTGAGAAGTGCAGCCTAAAAAAATATGCTTACAGCAGGATTAGGCAACCAGGTGATGGAGAAGGCCTGGATGTAGCTTGGTACAACAAAAAACCCCACAGTAATACAAGGGAATAAAATTCTGATAAGACTTGTAAATTAAGTCAAGAAGCAGCAAGGAGGAGGTAACCGGAGGATAAATCTCAGAAAATGTGGAGAAGCAAATAATTTTATGAAAGAAATTGGCTTTGGAGGAAGAGAACCTGGAGAATGGGTTTGTTACATGGTGGGAAAAACCTCCAAGAAGATTGTAAACTCTCTTTATTCCAAGATTGTAAACTCTCTTTTAAGGCATCTCATTAAATGTTTGGATACGATGTAGTTGTGAAGATAAAGGAAAGGGAGAATATGTGTAAAGTCACACCCAGCCAGGAGTTTAAGTGGCAGGGGTGACATTGGGAGTTGGAAAGAAGCATATAAATGTTCAACAAAAGAGACTAATTTTCTTATATATAGGAAAACCTCAAATAATGGGAGCAGACCTTTTATCACTTAACCATTAATCATTGTACCTTGCATTAAAGCTTTTGAGCTTGTTTGGGTGAGTTTTGATGTAATTCTGAATGATGTTTTTTCTTTTTCTTTTTTAGTAGCACAGTTAGCAGTCTACATGCAAGAGTTGATTCACTAGAGAAATCAAACACTAAACTGATCGAAGAGGTATTAATTTATTTTAGTATTGTGTAATAGTTATTATTATTCTCAAAAACTTTTTTCAAAATATGCTTACAGAACTTGCATAGATTAAAATAATGTATGATTTGTTCAGCTACCTTGATTTTTGCTTGAATAAAAGGTGCAGTAGCTGCAAGGATTTGAAGTCAGCTTGCTTGGGTAGCCTCTAACATCAGCAAATTAATTTGACTGATTAATTAATCAGTAGAACGTTGCAATTTCCCACTTTGGACAAAAGCAGAAGTGAAGCCTTTCTTAATGCCAGCTGTCAGTCTGATTTTGTGCAGATGACTAGTTCATAATGAATGACTAGTTCATAATGAATGACACCAGTTGCTACAAAGAGATGAAAAGTAGTTCACCAAGCAATTTCTATTGCAATTCTCAGCTTTAGGCAAAGGATTGTTTCTTGATTATTTACCATATACATATATGCAAGTTTTTAGACTTGTGTAGCTCTGCTTTTGTATTTATATCCTATATTTCTGGTTATCTTTCATGCTTGATTAGATTCTAATATTTTTAGCCTTAGAGAGAGAGCACAATATTTTTTTTAATTCAAGCTGCTTGAGAAATAGTGAAGTGGAGAATCAAAATGTCTAAATTCAGCTGTTGAAGGGCATAGCTAGTTTGCTCTGAGTATTCATGTATCCTGAGAGAGGGAAAACATTTTTCCTGAGTGTTAATTCTCAGAGTATTCTGGTTCCTTTACAAGCCCTCAGCCCTACCGGCCACCTGTTTTGATCAGCTGGCTTACAATTCTGACATTAAGGTGTGTCCAGTAAGGCCCAGTTATGTTTCCTCTTTTGTAAAGATGTTTTCATTTGGGAGAGGCTTTCTTATGTAAATTACTCCATCTGATACATTAAGATATCAAAAAAAACCCCAAACCAAGCAACAAAACAGGATATATTTTAATCCAAATGGGGGGGGGGGGGGGGGGGGGAATGAGGAGGAGGC